AAACACAAGTTTGTGGAAGCGTCCACTCGACTCCGGAAGCTTTAAACTGGAGGGGCTCACCACCTATGCTGGCACTACCGGCACCTCAGCGCATGCAGCTGAGGTCCGGCCGCATCAATACCACAGGACCCACCAGCACCGCCAGTGTTTCCAGCCTGCTCCCTGCGCCGCTAGAATCAGCAGCCGTCACCAACACCAGGAGCACTGGGAATACTCAGGCTGGTAGATAACATTCTTTTAATACACATATAATTATTGGCGTAAATTCACTAATGATCCTTTTGTCTTCCTGGGTGTCCGGACTACGTATTCGGACATCCGGCAGTTTCTTGGCCTTTGCTAACTGCTCTCTAAATAAAATCGGTTTTTAAAGCAGATGAATTGAATACCTATTAGTAGGAGATCATTGTATAAGTGTCGGCACAATCATTGTGGTGTTTGATCCCTATGAGGGTCAATTCTTGTCAGTATTTTTCTTATTTAAAAATGTACCAGTAAAAAAAAAAGGCCTTTTTCGAAACCGAAAGGCATTAAATAATTATGTTATACCTGATTATAACACACTAAGCTTGAGGGTTATAGAACTGCAAATGAAAAAAAAAAATCATGAGATACCGCCTTGTGTGTTCTTTAGTTTTAAAAGACGATTTTACGATTTGATCTACAGAAAGCTCTAAGTTTTACCTTTTTCGGCTTAAATATTGTGACGTATATTTTTTAAAAATTTATGCGACTCAAACTGCAATATTTGCGCAATGTAAACAAGATTACGAATACACAAAAGTTTATATTGGAGTCATTAATCTTTACGATTAACAGAAAAAAGTGTGGGTACGTAATACACCTAGTTTAACTGCATCCTTTTATAGCAAAAATACATAGATTTATCAACCTTTTTACTAGGCAAATCTTCGCCATGTAATATTGATGGGTCTGACAACCAAATACGTTCGGGAGACAATGAGATATACTTGCTCAAATCAGACTGCCTGTGGACAGCGGTCGAAACAAGAGAAACATTTTTGGTCTTAAAATATTTGCAAAAGACATAAAAGACTACGAAATACTCCTACGCATATATAATCTCACCGAATAGACAAGCATTCAGTTTCCTCACACAGCTTAAGCAGGGATAATTGACAGCAAAAAAAAAAAAACTGTTTCCTTGCATCTAATATTAGCTCCAAAGATAATAATAATATGATACGCTTGCAGAGTTAAGTATAATACACGCTGATGTGGTGGGAGCTTGCTAATGACGAAAATCAGTAATTTTGTAAAACATTAGCACAGCCTCAGATATAATTATTTGCGGGACGATTAATTAGAAAAGGATGAAGAACACAAACTATCCCGATGGTCACAGTACTATCAGGATAGCGTTCATAAGACAAGGTTCTTCCCTGGACTTTACGGATATTATGTTAGTATCAATATCTGATAGCAGAATACCGTAAATCTTTAGTTACATCGTATAATAAAAAATATTTTTTAATATTTTTTTAAATATACCTACAATTTTGTACGGAACCCTCAGTGCGCGAGTCCGGACCGGGACCATTTAATTTTGGATCCGGTTCGAATCCGACTAAAAAGTGTTATTGTTGACTGAGCAAAGAGCAATCGTAAAAAGAGAATATGTCATGGATAGCCATGGCAATGTCATCCCTAGCCCTGGTGGTCACAGTACTATTAGGATACCGTTCATAAAACAAGGTTATTCTCTGGACGTCGCGGATATTATGTTAGCATCAATACCTGATAGCAGGTTGTAACAATACAATGCTCGTTTGAAACAATGTCACTGTTTTTGTGGATAAAATTATGTACTATTTTTTGAAACGCTGTGGTCTGGGATATCTCAATAAGAAAAAGAAAATTAGCATAAATGACAGCACAAAATCGGTTATGTCATTATTAAAATAAATTCAGAAATTATGAACAATATTCTTGTCAAATGGTTTTTGTGAAGAAATTTATAAATTTCGTACCCTGTCACCAAAATATACTGTCACGGGTACTACTAGTACTACTTGAATCCCAAGTAGGGTGCATAATTATTCAAAGAGGAAACTTGGACCCATGTGATAGCATTTTATAAAGCTGTTTTTTTTTAATAATAGGTAATAACTCTTTGGCTCTTTTTATTGCTCATAAGATACTTATTTTATTTATAATCAAGTCAAATATTAATTTGTATACTAATGAAAGTTTCAAAATTAAATATCACTGATAAGATTAAGTCTTCAACTATAAATCGAGCTTATCATTTACTGACTTTATTATAACGATGTACCTTCAATATGTCTAGCCAAAAATCTTGGAATACTATTTCAATGTTTCAGCAGTGAAGAGGCAATGGGAATGTGTTTTTATTTTTTTACTAATATTATTATTTAGTTCATAGACTTCGAGTCGCTGTATCTTTGCAACTCTACCAGACAGCGGAATAGACATAATCACCTTCTTATAGCACGATACGTGCTGCTACTTTACCTGATACTAAGCCAGAAGTTAGTATACAGCTTATGAAGTAAACTGCGGATTGGACAAGTGCGAAATTTTACAATAGAGAAGTATCCAAAAATAACTCGGCCTTTTTTGCTCGCTCTCTTTACAAACATTTTAAATAGATTTTTAAATTACCTATCTAGAGCTAAATAATAGTATTTTATTTTATTCTCAAATCAAGTGGTACTATATTAATTTACATTAGTATCTAAAAGTCTGCTATTTCGTGTAGCTTTAAACATCTACAAGTGTGTCAATGTAATCTCGAAGGGCGAATCACAGAAGTATAATTGAAAGTCAAACGAACTTACCTGTAAGTGACGTTCGACTTATATTATACGATGTGATTCGCCCGAGAGATTACACACCCTCCCTGTCCCTGATCAGCTATTCTATGAAGATATCTAGATCTTACCCATGGTCACACGAAATAGCAAGAACCAATGGACCGCTTTAGTCCAAACGTGTATGAATATGTGGAGTTACCCCCAGTGCGAACGCATATTTTATATTTTTTTTGTTATATTTTTTAGGCAAAGGTTAATGTTGCTCTAAAATTGTGTACGATGGCAGCACATAATGCGTGCTACTACAAGTGTGTCAATGTAATCTCTCGGGCGAATCACATCGTATAATATAAGTCGAACGTCACTTACAGGTAAGTTCGTTTGACTTTCAATTATATTTCATAGAGCAGCTGCGATGTGTGAGGCGGGACTCCCGAGTAGCAGCTCTCTATGAAATGACACAAAAACTGTACTTGAAGCACCGTGACCCGCTTAACGTAGCGCAGGCTCTTAGATCGGATGTAACTTATGATCGGATGCATATAATTTACCACGAACGAAGCATTATTATCACAGATGATAATTTCGTCTGCCATTTAATTCTGACCCTGCCCTTGTATCAAAAACTGCGTTACACAAAACAAGACGCGTGTAATGAAGCTCGAAATAAAAAGTGCCGTTATTAGATTTTTCGGCAATTGAGGACCGGAAATATTCTTCAATGCAGCCTAATACCGTAGATATGGAGGTGAAATTAAGCAGTGGTCCGAACTTTGGCTTCACTCGATTTTTAAAGGGTAGTCAGAAAAAAAAAATTAAAATTATGAATCTAATAAATAGATATTGCACATACACAATATTTTTTTAATTGTTTGTTTATGTCACCAGCAATCTGTGTAATGCAGGTATTCTACACCATACCTAGGCCTATAGTAGGAGGCAATGTATAAAATATATTTTTCCATTTTATACTTTTCCCAGGTACACAATTCCTAGGGATTGTATAGTGTGCTTGCTGGCCCACCAGCAATGTGTAAAAACAGATTTTGCCTGCATTTATCCTGGCCAAATCTTACCTAGCCTACCCAGTTGAATATAAAATGAAATATTGAATAAACCTTTGACTAACTCACAGTGGGTTAGTTTATGTTAGGGTTGTGACCTAAACTTAGCGCGAGCCGAGCGAGCATAGCGAGCGTGCCTCGGCAGCGGCCGGCGATGTGCCAGCCACCTGATAGATAATAGTAGATAAGAAAATGGATGCGTGTAACTTATGTTGCGCGTGAGAAGTTATACTTCTTTAGCATCATTAAAAATATTTTTTAATTGCATGCAAATAATTAATCATCATCATCATCAATGCAAATAATTAATAATTACAATAAAATAATAAAAGGACTGGAAAAGGATAGTTAACACAGTCAATTAAGTTCAGTTTTAATTTGAAAAATTAAATAAATATTCAAAATATTCAATTAAAATCACTACTGAATTTAAGTTATTAGTCCATATGTAATTAGCACTTGTAAGTAACTAAAACACGTTGTGTCTATATAGAAACTAGAAACATGTGGATAAATATTATAAATATGAAAACAGTGATCTGAGGCGACGAGCGTGCCAACATTGTTTTTGACAACGCGATCATCTTATGGAGCTCCGTGGATCGTTCAAAGTACCTTTCGAACAGATGTCCACCACTTAGTGGTTAATAATCCACCATTATTAGACACTAACATTCATAACGCGCCCGCGGCCAACTTCATGGTGTTACTATTGTGTTACAGTGATGCGCGCGCATCTCGAAATTTCGCTCACATGATTTTTTCATAACGCGCCCGCGGTCAACTTAATGCTGTTACTTTTGGGTTACAGTGATGCGCGCGCATCTAAAAATTTCACTCTCATCATTTTTTCATAACGCGCCTAAAGAAGTATAACTTCAATAATTATAGATAAATAAATCAATGTAAAGTCGACTCGCTATCTTCTTTTACACACATTGCCGACTGCGGCGACCTAGGTGAAGTATTAAATGAATAATATTTCATACATTGCCTTGCCTTATGTACGTTTTAGGCATTCTCTACATTGCCTAGGTATTGTATAAAATGACGGATTATAGAGATTGCTGATAACATACCTATTTTTATAGATACGAATTTGTAAATATCAAATAAACATAAAATTCATTTGTTTCAGACGCTAAATGGCAGTGAGTGGGCATCGGATTCTGTTCCTTCGTCGTGATTCTGTTGACTGGTGATGCCCCACCGCTGGGACAATGGGCGGCAGACGGGGGCCCTGCAAGAGCTTCGCCATCAACGTCATCCAGATCATCACCATCATATGCCAAGGTCAGACCCCTCAATTTGTTTACTAAATCTGAGGAGCAGTTGAAGTGACAACACCGGTTCTTTTCCAGAGATCTTTTATTCCACGAAAAATAAAATTATCGTATGAGCTCCCTTTCTCGGTATTCCCTCAGTACTATAACATAGCCCGTTTCAAGAGAGGCTTTAAGAGTGTTCCACGAAAGCACGGTAATATTATCTATACAGTATTGTGACTCCGCCCTGTCCTTGAAATAAATGCCTACGGCCGAGCGCTGCGTTAGCACGCGGTAGGGCCGCCCGCCTACAGTATTTAATGTAGTTTTGTTTTTAACGCGAGTGTAGGTAGATTACTCGTTTGTCTCTTTTTTTATCCTAACCACTTATTTATATATTATTCCAGATATTTTGCCCGATGGATAAATCGAAATACCTAAATATTAGAAACAAATTACGTACTAGTACATAGGTATATAAAAATATTCTATAAAGGTAAGACATCTTTCCAATATTTCAGATAATTTAAAAAATGATATCTCTGGGTGTGTTATTGGAGAGTTCAAGCAACCAAAAACAGCAATTGTGCTGTTGTACGATATTGATCGTCGTTTGTTCTTTTCCATACTAAATTATGTAGGTATCTACTTAATTGAATCAAATATTTACAATACAAAACGTACGTTTAAGTACGGCTAACTGCATAAAAAACAATTCAGACCGTTCGGTCGTCGTTACGGCGCGGCGGCGCATTCGCGACTGGGTGCCCGCCGAGAGTGCCTCGAACTCGAGGGGCGTAGGTATGACTCGCTTTCCGACCGTTTGTATGAAGACAGAATACTGTATGATATTATTACCGTGACGAAAGGCAGCGCAAGCACGTCTGTATCACGTGCATTGCTTTGACGACCTCCGTGGCGAAGTGGTTTGTACGCCGGGTTTCATGGTGTCGCCGACTCGAGAGGTCCTGGGTTCAAATCCCGGTAGGGGCAGATGTTTGTGTGATGAATATGAGCATTTGTACTCCAGTCATGGATGTTTAATATGTATTTTCTATATAAACATTCTTATATATGTACAGTACATGTATTCTATCCGTTACCCTAGTATCTCATAACACAAATTTTATAGTGCTTACTTTGGGGCTAGGCTAATTGGTGTGAGTGTTGGAAATATTTATTATATATTATTGCTGCTGTCAACGGTAGCCACTTAACATCAGTTAGACCGCCCGCTCATCTTTGAAGCCAATAAAAAAATAAAGGTCATTACGATATTATGCCAAGGTCACACACCACTGCGTCACACATAAGCCGCTGAACTAAGTTTACCAGCCAAAAGCGTAATGTGATGATCCATTGCAGCTTTGAGTCTATCGTTTTACCCCAGAATGTAGGTGACTGTTTAATTAATAAATCATACAATTTTAACGACATTTTTTGGAGTTTACTCCTTAAGAGTGGATTTGCATATATAAGGGGCCCGGTATGAGAAAAATGTGAGGAGTAAAATCTATCGATGAATGACCTCGTTACGTTTTTGGTGCGCATCCTATGTCGCGCAACTTTGACAAAGAAAGATGACGGATTGACATTAATATTTTTTTTAAAATCTGAACTGAATTTAGATATTGTTTCTGATAGAGCAATGGGGACAACGAGGTATGGTACAACCATTGATGCGGTATTTTCAAGATTCGTGAACCACGTATCTACGAACGTCCATGTGTCTTATTTTAGTTACCATAAACCACTTGTAACTGTAATTAATAATGCAGACAATGTTGATTTAATTAATATTTAAAAAAATTCAATAGTCTGATAATAATAATTACATAATTTATCAACATTCCTAATGATATATGCACATCTGAAATTGACTATTGTAAAAAGTTTAATGTAAAATATTTCGTCGATTAGTTATAATAAATGTATATGAAATGAATAAATATATATTTATATATGTATATTAATTTCATTAATTTGTTAATATACCCTTTCATACAGTATCAACCTTTTTTAAGTTAAATAAACTCTTTTTGCGTCTGATAAGACTACCGAACTTAAGGAGTAAACTCCAGTCGTGCGTCGGAGCTGACACACACAATATTTTTTTATTATTATTTATGTTTGTGTGTTGATGTTGTTGACAATACCTCAGTGCCGCAGTGAGTGGAAGTTTTTGAGATAGATCTACTCCGACGTTTGAAAAACATGACTACTACTAAAAGAGTAAAAAATATTACGAAAGTAAATTTATAACCAACAAAGCATGCACCGTATTTTGGGACCGAAGTAAATTTTGTAACTATGATAAATATATGAAATTAGTAGGTCCGCATATAATATACCATTTAAATGAAACAATTTAATGTTAAACAAGCTGTCACAACTAAATGAAACATTAAACACATCTTCGGGGGCTTGCCTTAAATTAAGAGTCTTTTTGTAAAGGTAGGTCGGACAAATGACTCCACCCCACCTGATGTTAAGTGACGGTGAAGTCCAGACGTGAAGATCGCTGGTACACAGTGCCGTCTTTGACCTATTGGATGGAGGCCCTAGGCATATTAGGATAATGGGGCCCCTATGACTTCCGTTTGGTGATTTAACAGGAACTAGGGACTTTGTATATGATCTGAGGGGGCCTCCTTATCGATCGTGAGGTCCTGGGCACTTGCCCAAAGTGCCCACTGGGAAAGACGGGTCTGCTGGTACAGCAGTTTTACTTGCCACACCAGGAATCCTCACCTTGTCAGCCTGCATGTTGCTTCTTCACGCCTCTTTTAAAGTATCCCAAGTTGTAAGAAGGAGGGAATACGTGAGCAGGCAGAGCATTTCATTTATGGATAGTGCGACAAAGAAATGAGTCACCAAATGTCTTTGTAAGCTCGGAAATTATCGTCCTATTTCCAAGTTATCGGCGTTGTCTAAACTATTTGAGGGTCTGGTACTTGATAATCTGTACCTGCAAATTCAAAACATTATTATACCGGAGCAACATGGATTTGTCAAACGTCGCTCTACTTCGACTAATCTGATGATATATACAAACTTTTTGTTTGAAAATATGGATAATCGGGTTCAGGTAGATGCTGTTTACACAGACTTTCGGAAATGTTTTGATAAGGTTGATCATAAATTGCTTTTGGATAAAATTGCGTTCAATGGTATACGTGGTAATTTATTGCGGTGGTTTTCATCATATATTTATAACAGAACTCATAGGGTGGTGGTTAACGGCTTTGAGTCTGAAATTGTGTGTGCAACCTCTGGAGTTCCGCAGGGATCGATCTTGGGACCTCTTTTGTTTATCCTATTTATCAATGACATAAAAAGCTGTTTTACGAACTCCAGGTTCCTCATGTACGCAGATGATATGAAAATTTACAAACCCTGTAGGACCGTAGACGATTGTCATATGCTACAAGAAGACTTAGACAGACTTTCTTATTATTGTAGAAAAAATAAACTACATTTAAATTTGGATAAGTGCAATTCTATAATCTTCACCAAAAAGAAAAAAAACGTTTTGAACTATACATATAATATTAACGGTGTTAACATAAACAAAGTAAGTAATATTCGCGATCTAGGGGTGGTGATTGACAGTAAACTGCATTTTGACGAACATATCAACAATATCATAAACAAAGCCTATCGTATGTATGGTTTTGTCATGAGGTCATCCACGGATTTCAGGCGTTCTTCTACTTTTCTTACTCTTTACATGACCTTAGTTCGCTCTCAGCTTGAATTCGCAGTTCCAATTTGGTGTCCGCTTTACGATACATATGTGGACAGACTTGAAAAGGTTCAAAAGAAGTTTTTACGTAGGATACATTACAAGTTACATCATTGTAGAATTTCTTATGCGGAATTGTTGACTCATTACGGACTTTTGAGCTTGGAGTCCAGACGTTACCTACTCATGGCCATGATGTTGCATGGCATTTGTAATAACGGGTTCGATTGTAATAATCTCACTAATTATTTGTGTTATGTTGTACCTAGATCGGTATTCCGCAGAGGGGTGCGCGCGCCTCGGCTGTTTTATACTGGGACCTGTAGAACGAATGCGGGAGTGCGTGCGCCCCTTCGGCGACTACTGGATAATTATAACACAAACTTTGCAGAATTAGACATATTTGGGTTCTCAAAATTAAAGTTTAAAAAAATGGCAGTAGAAACATTATCAAATAGAACGGGTTGATGGAATTGGATATCATACTTGTATCTGTACCGGTTCATTGCGGTTTTTTAGTTTATTATTCCGTAGTGAGAAGATAATAAACTTCTCCTTTCATCATTAATTTGTGGACATTGGTGTGGGTTGTACACTTACCTAATTGATATCTACATTATAATTTTATGTAATATTTAGTGTATAACTGTTCTATGTTCCTAAAATAAAATAAAATAAAATAAAATAAAATAAAAAATAAAATAAAATAAAATAAGCGTTGTAATTGTGACCACAGTTAGATGGTGACAACGTAGGCCAGCGCGCGTGGTCCTCTGAAGGAAAGGGGAATGTGGAATAAGAGAGAATAACTCCTCAGAACACTGGTCGTGGTACAGACAATAGAACTCGTGGGGGATAGGACGGAGCCCTGAGGAATGCTGGCATTCATTGAGATTAGCTGCTAATTACTACCAACCGTAAGGACACGAATTCTACGATCATGCAGGTAGTCAGCTACCCAGGAACAGAACTGAGTAGAACGCCTTGGCAATGTCAAGACTGATAGCCTACGACTCGCCACGCTTGTCGATAGCCTCACCCCAGATATGAGTCAAGTACGCTAGAAGATCAACCGTCGATAGTTTCTGTCTAAAACCATACTGACGATCATTAATCAGAGAGTGATTCTCTAGGTAGAGGGTCAAATGGATGTTAAGGACCTTTTCTAGAACTTTGCATATTAATGGGGTGACTGCTATTGGCCGGTAGTTGGCCGGGTCTGAGCAATCCCCTTTTTTGGGCACCGGTTGCACGTTGGCATCTCTCCAAGTCTCCGGCACACG